CAGCACGCCATATTCTGCAGGATTATAAGATGCTTCGGAAAGTAAGATGCACCCTCCAACTTTTGCTTCAAAATAACAATCCGGACAATGCGGTATATTTAAACCTACCTCGCTACTAGCCGCCGACTCATTCTACTGCTGAGCCACGCGGCCGGCCTCGTATCGTACGTCTAGAAAAAATACATTGGAGGTGTCTGGACCGCTGTTCTGTGCGGAGATGATGTTTGGTGCCGAGGAACGCCTCTGTTGGCTAGGCCAACCAAAGGATGCGAAGCCCTCCCTGCCAGAACCGATGGAGGAGAAAGCCGATTTCAGGTTGAAGGTTGACCTCGCAGAGGGAATAATAATAATAATCATCCAAATTGAAATGGACGTTAAATTTAGACACGGGAAGCGAGAGGTGTTGAAATAGATCAATGCGACTTTGGGGGACTGGCGCTTAATGGGTTTCGCTCACGACAGGTCACGAGCTGCTCTTGCGACTCTCCAGCCGCAATTAATCCAGCTGTGCCGAGTGACTAACGAGGGCCTAATTAGTCGAGTATAAATGTGAGCGGTGAAGCGGGGCCACCGTGCCTACGGTTTTTAAAAAAGATCAATTGCGGGCACGGTTTCTCCAGAGTGGTCTTTGCTCTCGGCGCTGGGTAAAGTCTCTCCGAATGAGATCTATCGTAAAACAAATAAAGAAAATCCTCATTTCAAATATGATGCCGAGTCAATTATTTTACTTAAACCTGACGACACCTCCCCCCCCCCCCCCCCCAGGTAGAGTTAAGTTCATCTGGAATGAGAAAGCAGTTCAGATTGAGACAGCAGCCCTCGATGGTGAAAACGACCGGGTACAGCTGTGGGCCACGTTTGCCATCTGTCAGTGGTGACACGAAGCGACAATAATCCTAGCTTGGCGTTCGGAGTATCTGCCTCGTGACACAACTGCTTTTTGTAGGACACAGAGATTGGGCGATTAGACGGAGTAATTTGATTAAAAAAATTAAACACGCGTTAATCTGCATTTAGTAGAGTTACCACACTGGGTGTGGCTAAGATAATTTATTAATGGTAAAGGTGCAGCCCTGAAAGTAGTTCTTGCTTACACCACTGTTGGCGGATGGGCCTCCACTAGACAAAGCTCTAGAGAGCCCCTCTATAGGGTATTTTGGTCCACTCTTTCACGTTGGCATGTTGTGGGGTAGCGTATGAAGTACCCACACTTTACCCCACCATGCACAACCTGCTGAGATCAGCCACGCCGCGGTGTACCCATTTATACTGACGAGTTGATAGAGGCAGGGGGATTTAAGAAACTTGCACCACTATTTCAACCATTGCAGCGGTAGGGAAATGTATATTACCGCCGACTTGTTTCTCAGGCGCTCAAGCATACTTTTGTAAGGCGTTGTTAATAAGTGCGGTCCATTCAGATGGCCAAGTGAAACCCACTCAAGCTACAGAAACGTGGTTCCAGATCATCAGGTGCAATGCAAGACCCCATGCAGTTTTGTCGGCCGCAGAACGGCGAACACGAGCGGAGGCTGCTTTTCCAACTGCGTGAAGCCAAGCCGACGTCAGACATCGGATTTGTATGACAGCATCACGTGGCGTTCGTCTCGGAGGACAGGCATGGGGCCCTGCTTGAGAAGGGACTGCTCCTCCTCCCCTATTGAGCCCGAGCTCCCTGCTGACCGCAGTGTCGCCAGAAACTCAATAATGCTCAATCATCTTCTTGGTTCTTTCGGTAAAGTCACGTAGAAAGGAAGTAATAAAATAATGAAAATTAAAACATAATAAAATAATTTTCACTACGTTTCGGCCAGAATGCAAGCAGCCGTCCTCAGGTGAAAACCAGGTCTGTCGAGGCGACAGCGTCTGAATGAAACAGCACCATGCTTGGAGCATATATTTAAGCTGGGTTGGAAGGGGGGGAAAGGGCGCCTTGACAAAATAATTTGCATATCAAGAGGAATTTAGCATATTTATGGGAAATGCAGGTATGTGATTAGTACTACTTATGCCCGTGCATTATGCAGGATTAGCAGCATCAAAAGGAGGGGATATGGGAAATGCAGGTATGTGATTAGTACTACTTATGCCCGTTTATTAAGCAGGATTAGCAGTTAGGGGAAATGCAGGTATGTGATTAGTACTACTTATGCCCGTGCATTATGCAGGATTAGCAGCATCAAAAGGAGGGGATATGGGAAATGCAGGTATGTGATTAGTACTACTTATGCCCGTTTATTAAGCAGGATTAGCAGCATCAAAGGGAGGGGATATGGGAAATGCAGGTATGTGATTAGTACTTCTTATGCCCGTGCATTATGCAGGATTAGCCGCATCAAAGGGAGGGGATAGGGGTAGCATTAATAAAGGAAAGGAGTGTGACTTTACCGAAAGAACCAAGAAGATGAATCCCTGCAGTCACGAAAGCTTTAAATCGAAATGCTCAAGCAGTCTTAACGAGCCAGTCAGAGGCAGCGTTCGCTTGCTTCCTGCTGCTTCCCACAACTCTCCAAGTCTGCATTTGGATGTTTGGGAAAGGGAATTCCCGCTTGCCGATGATGTGCAAATTCCACGTGTTAAAAATAAATGTTTTGGTTTATCTTGCAACTTGGCCGTTTGATCTCAGTGCCAATCTGTGGCCATTCTTGTATTATTGGACATGCTTCTGCTAAAAAAAAACAATAAATACACATTCCACCGTTGAAACATTAACATTTTGTGATAATATTGATGATGAAACGACGTTCCTTTGAAATGTCTCACTGTTTTCAATAGTTATTTTTCTTTTTACCTTGGCAGTGTCGCTGTGTGGAGGGATTTAGCAATAAGCACAACGCCTCTGCGCCTGAGAAATGACAGTCAATTGCATCAGATTCCCTATTCCCCAGCTCCTGTCAATTTCATGCGATTCCACTTTGATTTCTCCAGCGAATGCTCATTTATCAATGTGTGTCAGCAGAAGGCAATACCAGTCTGGGGCAGAGGGTCTCCTGGGAGCGGATGGTATTGGTGGGGAGGCCGCATGTGTAGAGCAGGGCGGAGGAAGAGAGGAAGCTAAACACAAAATACTACAGCATAGTCAGGAGAGCGAGGTGCCTGCGGTGATGAGCGACTGTCATCAATGAGCATCGACTCCGGCACTTTTATGCCCCCACTTTTCAATGAACCACGCAACTCGAGTTTCCCCGTCCAAAACTCCACTTCCATATTTGTAGGCTTACTTTGTGTTGGCTGCCAATTCGGGCAGGTGCCTGGACTGTATGGGCTGATTTCGCATCATTATGCTGCACTGGTTTAAATTTTACATCAAATTTCAGTCTGAGTGGACGTATTATACATTTCTGGGAAATATTTGCCTAACTAATGTGATAAAGCTACTAACTCGAAACATCGTGGAAACACCACTTATTTGATTTGCACCAGCTCGATTTTGTCCATCAACTCAGGGTTCTGGGAGAGATCAGGCCAAATTAGGCAGAATCAGGCCAACTTGAGTGCACTCGAGTCCATGAAAATGAGATATTAGATTGCCACACAACAATTTAATTCAGAGTCAGCGACTCTGAGTAACATTGGACTCGCCTCAATACAGGGAGTGAAGTTTGGACTTTGCAGGTTACCCAGTGTATCCGGGTTACACGGCGTAACAAGGCATTGTTAACCATGCCTGCCTCTGCACTGTCAGTCAAGCAGCACAAGGCCACGCAAATTGCGTACCGATTGAACTCACGACCCCCCCGCATCTCTTTGGAAATGCTCCCAAGGAAAAGTTTTTTTCCGTAACCGCACTTCGAGATGCCCCTTTGGATGGCCTTCGTTTTTTTTGGACAGATTACACGGCGCCGGCAAATCGAGCAATCCGCCGGTAATTTGTGCTCGCCGGAGTCTGCCACGGCACACACGGGTTGTAAGCATCGATTACGAGCGTCTCGTTACCACTGAACACCGTCGCATCCCACCTTGTGCGCCACTGGGGAGTCTGCTCCATTTTCCGACGCGTTTGGAAGTGTTCATCCGTCCTTCCGGAGGTTTCCGGCGTCTTAACACGGGCCGCTGCATTTTTCGGGTGTCTCTTTTCACGAAGCTTGCCGGATATTTTCACGAACCATCATTTATTTTATCTTTCAACGAACGAGCATTCGCCTTGCTGGAAATGTGAAAGCCGCTGGCAACCGTGCTGCAGGCGGCAAAGCTACGAGGGGTTTTAGTTTTTTTGAGGTCAGCCAAGTTTTGGACGTTCGACGAGACTCATGAAACATCGCGGCAGCGGCTGAGAAGGTGACTGCTCTGATGACAGTCGCCCGAGTGAGTATTGTCCGGAAAAAAAAAGTGACAGGCCGTTCCTCGCATCTATGTGGCTTCGACGGGAATAATCTACGCTCGGTGAAGACGTTTTCTTGGGAAAGGACTGCAGGTGGACGTCGTGTTCTCAGAGAATTGTGGGTCGTTCCCCACCCACCACCGCGAATGTAATTGTCTGCGCGACTTTAAAATAAGCAATCACAGTTTTACTGAAGCACACAAAACAAATATTGCACAATACGAAGTACTGAATTATCATTGTCATTATTATTGCCACACGGCACCACAGCAGAAAAACACAGAAAGTCGGGATGCACATCTTCTTGGTTCTTTCGGTAAAGTCACGTAGAAGGGAAATAATACAATAATAAAAATAAAACATGATAAAATAATTCTCACGACGTTTCGGCCACAACGCAAGCAGCCGTCCTCAGGTGAAGAACAGGTCTGTCGGAAAGACAGCGTCTGAGTTTCAGAACACGTCTGTCGGAAAGAAAGCGTCTGAGTTTCAGAACAGGTCTGTCGGAAAGACAGCGTCTGAGTTTCAGACGCTGTTTTTCCGACAGACCTGTTCTGAAACTCAGACGCTGTCTTTCCGACGGACCTGTTCTTCACCTGAGGACGGCTGCTTGCGTTGTGGTCGAAACGTCGTGAGAATTATTTTATAATGTTTTATTTTTATTATTTTATTATTTCCCTTCTACGTGACTTTACCGAAAGAACCAAGAAGATGAATCCCTGCAGTCACGAAAGCTTTAAATCGGGATGCACAGTCAATGCCTTTGCCCCGAGCGCCCGAGTAGAAGCAACGACGAAATGTAAGTCATGAGAAAAATCGCAGAGTACCCTCTACAGAACCCTCTATGGGGCCAAGTGCTCAAAGAGAGAGAGAGAGATAGAGAGAGATAAAAACCCTTTCAAACACAAACTTACGACACAATAGGAAGCCTTCTGAGAAAAGAAGGAACCTCTGAAATAATTTCCAACAGTCTGATGATCAAAGTTCTGATATATATTTCGTTAGATTTTTTTTAAAGCCACCTTTACACATATTCACTCCTCTACACGCACGCTGTTTCAGACGATATCAACTTGTAGAAGAAAACAACATTAAAAAAAGAACCACAAAGCCTCTACAACTTAGCGTGAGATATCTAAAGTCTTCCTAATAAAACCGAACCTTCGAAATAGAACAGACTGCTCCCTTTTCACTGTTGGCACTTGTGTATGTTGGAACCATCTCTTAAAGTGCAGTCACAGATGTCAGCAGTGAGGTCGGAAACATTCCATTTGTGTGAAGGGCATTCACATTGTGACCGGACACTTTCCTTGTGTCTTCCAATCCCGACCTCAAGTCTGATATTTTGACCCATCCAGTCAAACACTGCCTGCATGGCATTGCAGGAGCCTACACTGCACATGTCCAGAACAGAGCCCAGAGTTGGGGATCATACAGAGTTCAGTGCGGTGACAGAGACGGTTCACAACTAAAAGTTCACAAGTTATACATCTCCGGTGCATTTCATTTGGTCAAATAATGTGTGGGGTGTCCGCTTTTCAGTTTTTATTTGGTCTGCTTCCCCCCCCCCCGCCCCTTACACATCATAAATTGTTTTTAAATGCGCCAGATGGTCCATGGCACTAATATCGCAACAGCTGCTGCCGACGCATTTGAAGCGACCTTGCGTGGTCCTGATCGCCGTGTTATTTTTACAATAGACGGCGAACTTTGGCAGCAATGCCACCCAGCAGTTATGTGAATGAAGCCTTCAACTTGTGTGACCTGGCCCAGCAGTAACTGGATCTCACTCGGTCAGCCAAGCCACCACCACTCATCTTCACATATACTGATTCTATTTACTGGGTGAATCTATGTATATTAATATGTATGTACATGTACACAGTACAGCCCTTTTTTGTCCAACCATTGCTGGATGAGGGGCCTTCACACTCCGTGCGAGTCTCGGTGGTTGTTTGACCATACTTTACCATGGCTGGTCAATACAGGTTGGTGAAGGTGCAGACCACAGGCTTGGGATCATAGTCTAGTACATTGATGTATTATGCCGGTCTGCCCTCTACTGCCCCCACAGCATCCCTGCAGCCTAAAACACCTGCGATCCATGACGATCACCCATCCAAGCAATACCCAGGCTCACGCCTGCTTGGCTTCTGAGATCTGATGCATCCTGGGTAATTTGGTCAGAGGCACTGGTCATTCGCTCAAGGTGCATCCCTGCAATTACACGCCCATGTCACTGCTGGTGGAAGGGCCTCCACTAGAGGGAGCACTAGAGAAGCCTTCCAAAGGATATTTGGCCTAATCTTCCATTACAACTGCTTACATGCATAAAACATTATCTACTGTAGTGTTTTTTTGCCACAAGTGCTATCTTAATGCACAAGCGGTCAAACACCTGATCCATCCACCCAGGCGGACAGCAGCCAGATGAGACGTTACGTGAGCGATTTCTTCAATAGGCATCATCAGCCAAAAAAACCGAGAGGTGGACACCCGCACGTCACATTAGACAGCACCACAGTGGAAGTCGCACGAGGCTTACGTACGCAGGTCACAGCACGCACATTCAAAATATCACTCCGCATATATATTGTATGTATACCGCATGTATAAGATATAGATTTGCAACGTACTATAAGTTGTTAAGTTCTTTAGCGTTTCACACGGTGCTTTGAATTAGGCACCTTGAATAGACCCCACTATCTTGGACGACTCGCGTAAATACAATTGGCTTTACTTCGCCACAACCGTTTATAAATTAAAGCCAGTTGTTTTTTTCTCTACAAACACACTGCAGTTCACCGTCGCATTTTAATAACAAAGCGCTAAAGCCGATACTAACCATTTATAACTGATTATACTGTTACAGCTATTAATGTTTTCGTGGGAACGGTAGCAGCGTTTGAAAAAAATGTGAAAATTCTCTCCGCGTTTCCATCCGGCGGGGAAAAGAAAAAGAAATGTGTGCAATTTCCGAGGTCGCCAGTGGCCATCGCAATTAGCGCAAGCCGCATGCAAAACAATGAATCATTCAGTTAACAATAATCGCTGTGTCTAACCTCTCCGAAGCAAACGATGCCGGTGAAGAATGTGTTTTGAGGGCCCGTGCGGGAGATGCCGGCGGCTACGCGACAATTCACGGTTGTCCCTTCGTGGTGGTGGTGGCAGTGCCCGATTATCATAGTAACAAAAGTAGCTACATATGTAGTAGCTACGGGCCCCGCACTTTCAAGGGCCGAGCGCTAAATGCTTTCAAGATATCAATTCCGGTTCAGTGATTCTGCACTTGCTCTATTACTATAGTACTATACCGCCTTCAACTTTTACGAACGACTGGGTGTTTAAGGTTAGCGATTTGTCGTAGTATCTGGCTGTATAGCAAATTAAAAAATACAATTACTTTACTATGCAAGTTGAAAATTTGTATTTTAATATTTACGTGTAATTATTTATTTATGGGCCCTTTATAACATATGTCCGGCTGACACGGGCGCTCCGTGGCACACAAATAAACGCCGCTCACTTGCGATGGCGACGACCCTGACCCAGCCAGGTCGATTGAACCGGCGATGGGAACGTTTCGTTTTTACTGTGGGGCCCGCACGGTGTTCGCGAAACGGCTAGGAAACAAGAGAATCCACAGGCGTGGGATGGGAGCCCAAAGGCATGGCTCTGGCTCACGCTGTCCATATGATATTTTATCATTGGCAAAGTTATTACAATTCCCCGACAGGGTGGCCCACATCAGACGTAATGTCCTGCGCAAAAAGGATTTTGCCTTCTTTGTTTGGAACACCTTGAACTTGGCGCTCGGAGGTTTCGGACGTTTGTAGCTTACGACGAGATTTGCGAAGAGCACAGCAGATAAAGGCCACGCTATCAGAAACAAAATCAGAACGTGCCTAAAAGAGCATCGTTAATTTAAGCAGACGCCATTACACTTTTAATGACTATTCATAATGGCGAGGTAGAAAGGAAATTAAAAAAGAAGAGAGTTACATCGACTCGCAGTAATTATATTGATTTCATTCAATGTAATTCCCGCACCCCTGTTAAGCATAGATAAGCCATGGGCAGGATGTGCCCTCACAAAGCCACATGCTGATAAACCAGGCTATGAATCACAGCGCGCTACTGGGCAGCCGGCACAGCAGACAGCTCAAACTAAACAGAACACCGTGTACCAGAAGCCACTTGGATAGATTTAAAAATAAAAAAAATTAACCTTAAGAATAATGATAATATTAATAATTTTTTTAGCCCTTTGTCAATATGCATGAAGGCATCATCATGCCTTGTCAGTCACGGGGGTTATTTTTTTAAACCTACCATACTTCACTTACACTTGTAAGTGCGTTTTGATGTGGGAAGGCACCCAAGACTGGTCCAGATATCACTCACCACTGATGTCTACAATGGATGGAACTCAAATTCAGGTCACTCGGTTGCTGAATGCCTGTGTAGTGTGCCAACTACTACACCACCGATTCATCCGCAACAGTTACATATTCAGTAAATGTTTCATCTTGTGCATCACCGAATCACAACATACACAGAAGCAGAATGGAGACTGCACATGGAGACCTGTGTTATCAATTGAGCATGATGAATTATTATTGATTATATGGATAACAACAAATATTTACATATCGTAAGTGGTGTGAGAATAGGTTCCTGCTCAAGCAAGCACGATCCAGCTTGCATGCGTTGTTTGTACAAGGGGAAATTCGACATTTCTATGGTCTTAACTTGGAAAACCCACTGTTGACTTTCCATAAATTGGTACTCAATATATAAACCTCCGAGGGATAAAGTGCAGAAGTGATCCTTGGACGGAGGATATGAAATCACAATCATGTGATTGCGAGCTGCGTGCTGTAACAACTGGTGCCAACCGGCATGTTTATTTGCTTCTTAATTTAATGACGGTGTCTTTTATATTACCCAGGAAAGCCTCACTGAGAGACCCTAGATTGTTTACGTAGGGAATACTTGGAATTTTGATTTCAAGCTTTCGTGACTGCAGGGATTCATATTCTTGGTTCTTTCGGTAAAGTCTCTTCTACGTGACTTTACCGAAAGAACCAAGAATTATTGGAATGTTTGACCAATTTTAAAAATGTAACCGTAAAATGTTTTACCTAAAAGTTGAAGATATTCATCGTGCATAAACATCACTTCTTCTATTATCACGGCAATTTGATTAAAATCTGTTGCTAATCCTGATGGGTTATGCAATGGAAGAGAGGAGCAAAAGTCAGACGCACTGATTACTCTTGCTGCCAATGCTTTCACCCCCGCTGCTCTAAGCTGACAATTTCACCCTCCCCCCCCAATGATGGGGGAGGTAAAGCGGATTAGACTTTGAAACGTTAAAATCGAGTGTCAATAGCGTCATTTAAAAAAGGCCAGTTCTATATGGCGAAGCGAAACGCTCGGAATTAAAAAAAAATTGTGGTGACATTCATGGTCTACAATTGTACGAGTCGGGTGGCAGTGAGTTGTTCAGCTTATTCGCAGATTAATGTCGCACATTTAACGTTTACATATATACATAGCATTTTTTTAAATGGATTTTTTTCAAGGAGCATTTTGTCCCCCTTTGTACGCACTTATAATAACGTATCTCATATAATGTCCATTTAAATAACGTATTACTCGCAGCACATGCGCACACGACCACACGTCACGCAACACAATTGCGCAAAGCAGTTAATCTACCGCGCGACTCCAAATGGGGCCTTTTTACTCGACGAAAAACTGAAGGCTCCCCCACGATTGAATCAGACAGATTAAAGCACTGGGGGGCTTAACCCACAGCCAGAGCGGCGAAGAGAACACACTATCATCACGGCCACCACAAAATAACATTATCTTCATTCTTACCGTGATTTTGCACAACATATTACAACCAGTTGCCTGTCGCCACCAAGTAAGAAGGCAAAATCCTTTTTGAAAAATATAACCCTTCTGGTTTAGCGCTCTGATGTGTTTTCGAATTGTATCGCGCACTGCTCGCTCGACATTATGTCCAACGTTTTGCTCCACGTGCTGGGAGCCTCTTCAGGAACTGAATTGCCAAAGAAGCTCCCCCGAACACAGGATACAGCCGCACAGCTGTCAATAAAACCCAACTTCCCGTTCTCATTTATCTACCCGGGAAAGCCTCGCCGAGTCTCCAGGCTAACAACCCTCCGCAACCGCATCGCCCGAACGAATCCTTGACGCGAGCAGCTTCGTTGCAATGACCGCCGTGTAATTTGTTTGCTCCCCTTGGGAATCCTGCTTGGACTTCCACCTCGAGCCACGCGCCTTGTTAGACGGCCTGTGGAGGAACCCGCTCGCCGGTCTCCAGAACAATCTGCGCCGTCTTGGGCTGGCAGGCGAGGCCCGACGTGGAAGGAACGCAGACGTTTTCGGTCGCCTCGCTGGCTTTGTCGACCACGGTGACGGCAGCAGGAGCAGCAGCAGCAGCAGGAGCGGCCGGCACCGGGGTCTGGCCGGTGGCGAGCGCGGACTTGGCCTGCCCGTCACTCTCCTGGCTGTTCTCCAGCGGCTGCGTGACGCTGCGCGGCGGACGGAAGGTGACGGCGCACGCCATCCGCAGGTCCTTGCTACGCATGGCGTAGATGACCGGGTTGATGGTGGCATTCATGAGGCACAGCATGGAGCAGAAGGCGAACACGCGCTTCATGTGGTTGTCCACGCTGCCGAAAACGTCGTACACCATCATGGTGAGCACGGGCCCCCAGCAGATGATGAGCGCGACCAGGATGAGGACCAGCGTCTTGGCCAGGCGGATGTCCATGCGGTGCTGCTCCACCTTGCGCCTCTCCGTCACGGACACGCGGCTCATCTTGGTGGACGCCCGCCTGATCATGTTGGTGGTGTGGCGGTGCGCCTTCCACAGGATGAAGCCGTACGCGTAGATGATGACGACGAGCAGGAAGGTGACCAGGCTGATGAACGAGAGCAGGTACATCTTGTCGATGTGCGGGAAGATGTCCGAGCACTTGGAGTGCAGCTGTCGGCAATTCCAGCCCATGAGCGGCAGGGCTCCGGTCAACAGCGCTATCGTCCACATGACGCTCAGCGCCGTCACGGCCCTGACGCGCGTCACGATGGTCCTGTAGGACAGCGGCTGGTGGATGGAGATGTAGCGGTCGATGGCGGTGAGGAAGAGGCTGCAGACGGAGGCGGTGAACGAGGCCGTGACGCCGCCCAGCTTGAACAAGAAGACGTTCTGCGTGTCCTTGCGGTGAAAGACGTGGAAGTCCGTGAAGCTGTACACGAACACGATGCTGGAGAGCAGGTCCGAGAAGGCCACGCTGCCCAGGAAGAGGTACGAGGGCTTCCTGCGAAGGCTCCGCGTGCGGAAGATGATGAAGAGGACCAGGGCGTTCTCGAGCACGGTAAAGATTCCCATAGTGAGCGAAAGCACGCCGATTGCCGTCTGCTGGTCCCTGGTCAGGATCATGAAACACTCCATGTCCAAGAAGTTCCCGCTGCAGTTCAAGTTCTCCTCGAGTGGTCCCAACGTCGTGGCACCGTCCAGGCCGCTGGTGGAATTGGGGTCCCATGGTGTGTCAACTGGAGGTCGCTCGGTTTGCTGCCGAGTGATGATGTTGATTCGCGGCTGACCGGGGTTGCCCCTGAGTGGCTCCATGGCTGGGCCGTGTAAATATTTTCTACCACCCCGCTAAAGAGAATGTCAATGTGTTTCCAGTATGGGCGGATATGAGGTTGAGCTGAGATGAAGACAACTCCCGGGGTCCATCGCTTCACGGAGGAAGAGAGGGTTTTTTTTGTTGTTGTTTCGGTCACTGAATAACGTTACCGCTCCTGGGAAGACATAATACATCAGACAGGTATTAAAATGGTAAACACGATGCCCCTTTTTTGATGATAAAACAAATTACCTTGTGCTTCACGATTTCATTAAAATTCATTTCATGTTCGATAAAATAGTGAAAATGAAAAATAGATTTTTTAAATGGAAAAATGCATCAAAGTAAACGTAAATTGAGTCGCCTTTGAATATTTATGTCGACCAAAATGTATGAATTCAATCCATTCACTGCTATCAGTACATCCGATGCACGGTGTTCGGTGTGATTTGTAATGCTCACACTGACTCTATCACATGCTAAATAATGTATAGTTAATGCGATACATATATTTATCTGATTTACACAGAGGATGCTTTTAAATGACTGCCCTTTTTCCATTTTAAAGATTTATTTTGTCAGTTTTATTCGCGGACGTTGGAACACAGCGATAGCATTGCAATTTAGATTTATCGGGCATCTGAATATAACTGCATCTAAAGGTTAAAGGCGCAGCCCTGCAATGCCTTGCTCACGCCACTGCTAGCGGAAGGGCCTCCACTAGAGGGAGCTGTAGAAAGCTCCTCTGCAGTGGTAATTTGGCCTACGTTTCTACGCCGCCCAGACATCCTAAAAGAGGTTAAAGTATCCACACTTTACCCCACAATACGCAACCGGCTGATTGACTGTGTGGTGAACCCATGTACACTGCTGGCTGGACAGAGGTGGAGGGATCTGAGAAGTTTAAACAATCGTTTCAGCTGCCGTGCTGGGAGACTGAATCGAACCGGTGACCAAGGGATTGGGCGCCACGGTGGCGAGATGTTAACTACCTCGCCTGGATTTTGATTTAAAGCTTTCGTGACTGCAGGGATTCATATTTTTGGTTCTTTCGGTAAAGTCACGTAGAAGGGAAATAATAAAATAATACAAATATAAAACAATAAAATTCTCACGACGTTTCGACTGCAACACAAGCAATCATCATCAGGTGTGAAATCAACAACAAGAAGATTTGAAAAAAGTGGCGATTTTTTTCTTAACGTCAGCACCACGGACAGCGATTTGGCAGTTGGTCAGATGGAAGAGTCCATCTATACAGTGACTTTCAGACCGCATTTCATTTTCTTCCTTTCTCTCCCCCCTCCTCTTTTCCGAACATAGATGGACTCGTCCATCTGACCAACTGCCAAATCGCTGTCCGTGGTGCTGACGTTAAGAAAAAGCTGCCACTTTTAAAATCCTTTATATTAAGTTCGCTTGCTTGCTTGCGTACTTGCGTGCTTGCTTGCTTGCTTACGACCGTGCAAATCTTTCGGTCGTTTTTTAACCCACTTCCCGTGATCCAATCGAGCTGACGTTTTCCACACAGACTCGTTGTGCGTGACAATTAATTTTCGTGAAAATTTTTTTCGAAAATTTTACACTGTTTAGGGATTTTTTAAAAATATTTAATTACCAATTGCTTAATGCTGGCAGACAATCATCTGACCCATAGGTGGCAGCCATCTCAAGCCAGAGGACGAGAGGACTCTAGCCGCCACGCATATAAAGGATTTAGAGTGAAAAACTTTGTTTTTACGGGTTAATTTTTTTCAAATTTTCTTGTTGTGGATTTCACACCTGATGATGATTGCTTGTGTTGCAGTCGAAACGTCGTGAGAATTTTATTGTTTTATTTTTTATTATTTTGTTATTTCCCTTCTACGTGACTTTACCGAAAGAACCAAGAATATACGTCACCTGGTATTCAGGAGGTCGTGGGTGCGATCCCGACCCTAACGCCTGCTGTATATTTGGAGTTTGCGTGTGTTTCTCCGGATTTTCTCTCCACATTTAGAAACACGCGTTAAGAGCATTTGGCTGCTACACATTTGCACATGATAGGCCACTTCGTTGAGCTATTATTTGTGACCAGGTCCCTTCTGAAATAGAGCTATACTGTATAGCTCAGTGGAGCCTTACCTGGTAAAATAAAATAAAAAAATATTTTAGTTTTATTGGCAATCCAGTCTGTGAAATTATGGTAGCATCCCTGCATCTAAAGACGCTGCACACAAAGTAATGGAATTTAATTCCCGAAGATAACGGCCCAGGATGATTTGAGGCCACCTAATGGCACTCATAAGATAAAAATCAATGCAGTAAGACGATTTATAATCTCTAAGCTTTACAGCTATACAGGACGAACATTGATAAGTGGAATAACACATGTTGAAAAGCACTGTTGCGCTGATTACACGTAAAGTTATGGAAACATGTATAAACACTCTAAGTTCATAATAGGGGTTTGGGTCAGGCCGTACGAGTTAAATGTGTGTTGTATACTCTCCTCTACCCATAGAAGAACGTGCTCACGTATTACTACTGTTCGGCAGCACCACCGGTGTGTTGTAGAGCGATCGACACGAATTGAACAATTGGCAAACTGTCCGATGATGCTGGTTGTATCTACCAGCGAAACTTCGTACCCAATTGTTAAACGTTCGTGGATTACTCTCCAACACTACTGGTCGTGCTGGGGAACCGGTACATAATTGGCGCCTTTGTTCATTATGTGACAACTTTATTAATTGGTTGTAATAGGTGTAGGGGGGGGGGGGGTGTACGATACATTTTACCCATATGACCTGACCATAATTTTGGTCTGGAAAACCTACGTGTTAACACTAAAAAAATTTCTGAAAACATCAAGCCTTTCCCATTCTGAGGCGTCTGCAAGTTTCAGATTGGATGTCCTATTCACCGTTGAATCTCTGAATGCGCAAGCTGTTAGCGTAAGTTTTATTTAGAGGGGCATAGCGCCGTTGTTTTTATAGACATTGTACTCACCGCAGAGAACTGTAGCGACACGACCGCACTCTATGATAGCCGGTGCCAAACTGTGCCACACGCCCTCCCGCATGTACGTCATTAAAATGGAATCGGAAGAAAAACTGATGACGTAGACGTTCTGTATACGTCATGACATACACATTCTGATGACGTACATGTCGTACAGATACGATATCAGAACGGTAAAGGTTTAAGATAAATACCTAATGGAGCAGGGCCCTCATGAAAAAGAGTGCTCGGTCTCATAAAGACTCTGAGTAAAAACAAGTAAATATCAAAATAAGCCTGAAAAAATTCAACAGCGTGGAGCATACATGAATTAAAATCAAAGTGGACTTTAAATAATATTTGTGATGAAAGTTTTCAATTAACATTTTGGCAATTCAACGTGTTATAAGTTGTGCTAATGAAAAAAAACCACGGTGTTTGAAATTAGATCAATGTCTTAATTAAAAATATCTATGTAGATTTAAATGTTCTATTTTCTCTCTTTACTTAAAAGCCAGATCACTCTCTTTATTTATCTTCAAAATGTGGTGCAGCTACAATCTGTGAAGAAACCTGTGAAGGGTGGGGGGACCACCAGAATGAGACCGACAGCTGGCCAAATAAGTTACGAAACGTCACGCGTACACATGGGTCACGATTTCCAACATGCGTTAACCTTCAGAAGTATTTAATTAGCAGCGCAGACGCCGATGGGGAAGCTGTCAAGGCTGACATTCATTTGCATATTTCTGAATATGCAGGTGTGAAGGTAAACTCGTAAGTATATCTGCAATTCGTGCTTTTTGCTCTGGTGTCCATCTCCACGTTTTTTGGGCAATAACCCTTTGATCTATTTGGCTGTTTCTCAATAGGATAATTCCTATCCTCAAGTGTTGTGCATTTTGGAACATCTTTAAAAAAGTTAAAGTGCCACCCCAATTATGGACGGAGGGATGAACAGAGCTCGTGCATAAATGCTTTAAACATTAGGGGGCTACGGTGGTGAGATGTTAACTACCTCGCCTGGTATGCAGAAGGTCGTGGGTTCGACCCCGACCCTGACGCCTGCTGTATATTTGGAGTTTGCGTGTGTTTCTCCGGATTTTATCTCCACATTTAGAAACACGCGTTCTCCCTGTGGTCGCATGGATTTTTCTCCAGGTCCTCCAGTTTTTCCCCTCAATGTTTAGAAATACGCCTTTAGAGTATTTGACTGCAATACATTTCCACACGATAAGCCACTTTGTTGAGCTATCATTTGTGGTCAGGTCGCTTCTGGAAAATGAGCTATAACGCTCATTGGGCCTTACCTGGTTAAATAAAAAAAAAAGTTTATTTTAGTTTAGTAGTTGGATAGAGCCAAGGCCATAACCATGGAGTCTACATTGGGGGGGACCAAATCTTCCAGGGTGTCTGGGGGTCACAACCCAGAAAAATCTCTAAATTTGAAAACAAATTTCCTGCCTAAAATATTTAAAAATTCACTAACACATGGGATGGACTTTTTATTTATTTTTTACAATAATGTCTAATAATGTATTGTATTACATTGCTCTGATTTTACTGTTTTTACCATTTCTTGTTTCATTGTATGTAATGGCAGAGATTAGGGATGACTGATTAAGTACAACCATAACCACAATCATATAAACAGAAATCTATGCATTGATTTATATGAAGACAAGTCAAGATATTGTGGCCAAGGTTTAGCAAATTGTTGTTTTTTATTTACATAGCATAGCAATTTTTTTATCGCAATATATTTGGGGGGACATTTTGAGCATATTTATAATTACGGCCTTGGATAGAGCTAAAAAGAGCATGCTCACAGTGGCATGCTCATAACCACCGTCCCCACCCAACTCAGGTTCATTATCAAAGCTATCCATAGCTTTGACAAAGCGTCGGTGGCTGTGGGCAATGACTAATGTTTCGTGGGTCACTTGGTAAAAGATATTCGCCCGCGAGTCCCACGACACACAATGACGGCAGACTCGATCGCAGAGGGCGTCGGCACGCGTGGGCAGGTGTGAAGGCGGGCGTCTCGCCAGCTGCGACCGCCGATGGGGAGGATTTCTAGCGCATTTGCTGAAATCTACTGTACCGCAAAGGCGAGCGGGAACAAAACATGGATAGGGCAAAAAATAAATCTTATTTTCGGAAGGAGGGTAGACAAAACCTGTAGCCGCGGTT